TGGACTTCGGCAATAAACATAAAAATGAGTCTTTTTTCTTTTGATTACGAATACAAAGGGGTCTCTCTTCGTTAGTAAAATATACCCGCGCAAATCTAGTCTCTCACAGTTTGAAGTCAAATCTCTTTTGGAGATCTTTGATTTTGAAAATTTTTTAGACGTGTCAAGTTGAGATGGGGGGACTGGGTACCGCTTTGATCAGACAGTATGTGACATCTTCACTTAAGGGTCTCAATGGGGTGATGGCTTTTTCGGCTAACGGTTAAACTTTTAGCCACTTTACTGCTAACGCTTAATATCTCTCCATTGTTGTCACCAGAAAAATTGTAACAATTAATTTGTTTTATGACTTACGGTTAAATTTTGTCAATTTTTACGCCTAACGGCTGATAAATTGTGTCGCTGTTATACGGCCAGCGGTTAACCCCACTGAAACCCTCTCACTTTTGCTCTTTGTTCTTAGTATATTTCAAATGAATGCAAAAAGTTTCTAAGGAAGAGAAAGCACCTTTCCTTTGAATACATTCAATCAAAAGCAAAATGAAATCCTAGACAAACTTTGTTTTGATTTCAAGGAAGATTAACTTTGAATTTCTTTGACGCCTACCCGTGAAAATCCACATTTTTTTGATTGGAACTTATTTTTAAAGATAATTTTATTCTTTATCTAGAGCTGGGTTTTGTTCTCGCCCTTTCAATACGAAATTGATAAAGCAGCTTTCAAAATAAGAAGTGAGACCAGTGTCAGAATCAGTGATAAGTCAAGACTCTTAGCTATAGCTTAGCAACCTTTATAGCATCGCTGGCTCAGATATCTTGAAGAGGTACCTTTCTCTTCTCTCTTTCTCTCTCTCTCCCCAGCTCTTGCCGTGCATAACCGAATCTTACATGGTTTTTCATGCGTTCCTAAACACCAGATTTGTTCCTTTGAATAGGTCTTCTGTTTAATGTTCATTTTCGAGTGTAGTAAGTTTATACTGAATATTTTTATCTGCTTCGAGTAATGTTCTAAACTTAAACCATGATTTATGACATTTTTGGGACTTAAAATTCATCTACAAAAACCTGAAAAGTGGAAGAGAAAGTGAATTCCGCAGAAATATGGCTACAAGCAAAGTAAACAAAGAAAATGGTTTAGCAGTGATATTATAGTTCTCAGATTTATATGACCATTACCTTGCGATTCCGATTTGAATCTCGAGCCAAACGAGAAATAAAGAAAATATTTAATTTCGACAAATAAATTATATTCCATGTAATGTCTTGTTAAACTCGTGTTAAAACTTAAGATGATGTAGCTCGTCGGAGTATTTTCCTTAACTTTCAGCGTGGGTGCGGCTACTAGTCATTAAAAGACGATTGTCATAGCTGTTTGTACTCAAGCAGTAGACCACTTTTAATCCTAGAGATACAGCTTATATCTACTTCAGAGGGAGAGAAGTACAGATCGGTTATACTTTTTATATTCGTTAAATATTTCATTAAAGTGTTTTTAAACGATTAAGGCTTAAAAGCCGTTCTTCATGATATCGGAGGTTTATTTAAATTCAATTGCCACGCAAATCACCAAGTACAATTCAGCCTGGACCTCATGCAATGAAGGTCTTGAAAATTGAAAGACAAAACTGTAAAATTGACTGTACCGAATTTTTCTACAACTATACGAAATGCCGTTCAATACATGGTGTTTGGTTAAACAGCTTTTACAAGCATCTTGAACTCTAGAGGAAGGTTACTTACCTCCCTCGATTCTCTTTTTTTCATGTTCCCTAAGCCAGCGGCGAAAGCATCACTTTTCTGGCATAAAAAGGAAGCTGATATAATGACTAAAATCAAGACAGCCATTTTTGAATTCATGTCGTTTATCGTTTGAGTTAGAGTTCACGAGTCAGAGGTTGTCTCTGAGATGATGCACTGAACCAGTTTAGTACAGAATACAGCTCAATTAAACTTCGCTCTTTATGCTCAGAAGAACAGTGGTTTTCAATAGTTGAATTTTAAATTTCCTTTATCGCTTCTGCAGTTGTTGTTGTGACTTTTATGAGACAAAGAAAAAGTTTTTCCGCTTCCGAAAATTGTGGGCTGCATGTCGCCCAACATCCTTTCATTAAAACTGTTGTTTCAGTTTGAATCACTGTAAAAAAATTTTTACTCTCCGTTTTACATCGTCAAATGATTCATGGCAAATGCGAATTTAAGGATAATTCTCTTCGCTTAGTGATATGTTTTTGCTGTGAAGCGTTTTTCATCTCTTTAACGGTCAAACCGTTATCTTTGCTTTATTCTCTCAATGATGTTTATGTTTCTAATGAACTGAACCCTCAACTCAGATAATTTCTCATTTTCCTTTGTAAATTACATACCGTTTGATCTACACGCTAATAAAATCCTTGTCCAAACCTTCTCCGATCGAAAAGTAGCGAGATGAAATCCCGAATCCTTACCTACTCAAGGCATCATCATCATGGCACTTTGTTACGTTTGGAAATCTTCTTAAAAATGTTTGAATATAATCTTTGCTGGAGGGGATGTATTTGTTTTGCAAACGACCTAGGGATAATTAAAAGACTAAGCAAAAACACCGAGTCTTTTCAACCGATTTCTGTTTCTTGACCACACCAACAGCATTCACAATACCAATGAAATGAGCAATTTACCATCTTAAAAAGAGTCTTTGACATTTTCAGCGTTTGCAATGAAATGTTAGACCAATTGATCAACTAGGACTGTGATATTTAATTACTTTAAGCTTTTTATTATAGATTCGATAATCTACGTGATAGGAAACACTGTTGTTGGAAGTCGTTGATATTTTTGCGTTATCAATCATTACACCTATCAACTGACGAGAGTGAAGATAGCTTACACGCAAACGTGAACAAATGAATGATAGTGCTCTAGGTGATTTCAATGCGGAATGACTGAAATATTCAATTCAGTCATTGGCTTTGAATGAAGTGGGGTCTTCTGTTAAGCGTCACTAGTTGTGGTGTCAAGCTGCGCTCAGTGCCAGATGTAGTTGATATTGAATTATACATGGGCGTGCGTAGATATTTCTCTTTAAAGGTGCAACTCCATATTTCTGAAGATTGAGCGCAGCGAACGAGTGAGTGAACACTCGGAGAGAAATTCCATATCTACTCGCGTATGTATTAATGCTTTAAAAATATACATGATTGGCTGAAAACGAGTGCATTTTTTATGAAACATGAGTGCAAAGTTGTAACACGAGTGCAAGTTACAAATGGCGCGCACGATGCCAAAATTTCATCGGTCTAGACTTTCTGTGATGTGTTTTTCTTGTAATTATTAACAAGTAGCTATATGATTTCTCGTGCAGTTTGGTGTATACAAGCATTTGTAAATTTTTCTTAGACTACAAATTGCATTCGCCTCACGGGCTCGTGCAATTTTGTTGTCTTTGAAAAATTTACCCGTACTAATTAACACAAATTTGTACTCGAAATCACGTTGTTTACCTATACTTATTATGTAAACTGCGATGTTTTACGAGGATATCTAGCCCTGAGAAAAGCCCTAACAGTCTACTTGTAAAATCATGATAACTTTTATGCGTGTCTGTTATCGCCAATCAACTGCTGACACGTCACTCACCTTTCACGGTGAATGAATTTTGTATCTGCTTGTAACAAAACATGCCAAATCGGAAGGTTAAAAAGCCAATAGAAATCAATGACAATAACTGAACTGAATGGAGTGCAATTAGGTCTAAGAGCTCGAGTTTGATATGAAGATTAATTACCACTCTATTACCATGATCCATTTGAAATGGAAAAAACACAGTTGGTCAAAAACAGTATCTTATGCCTATAGATATCTATACTTTATTAAGCCATTACTAAGCTGGTTGTTGCAAAAGTTGTGTCTGATTTTCCTGCAATTTGATTAGTTTCTTTACACAAGCTTTGAAATGATTGGTTGCTGTGCTTTGTAAAGTTTTTTCATTGGCTGGGAATAAGATGAGATTTATAGCAAAAAATGGCGCGATTCGTGAATAAATCGCATCGACGAGGGCCAATCAGATTGCAAGGATCAGCAGATATTTCAAAATCGATGTGACAAAGAAGGAAATCTTCCTAGCAATTACCTATTTCATGCTAACCAATAATTATCAATCTTCGGGTTGAAAACCAGAATGATAGAATAAACTGGTCGAAATATGCTGTTTTCCTGCCCTTTTAACATGCTGTTTGGAACTACTGATTTAAAACGAAAGGAAATTGTCAAATTTTCCCGTTTGGGTTTCTTGTAGACGAATGCTATTTGATCGGTTTCCATATTTTGTTTGTGCTTCAGGTTTGAGTTTACAAATGTGTACTGCTATCTTGTATCTTAATTAAGTTTCTACTGTTTTCTGGATCTGGTAAATTAGATACACAACAGAAACAGTCGGATAGCTGAAGTGTACCAATAAATAAGATTAAACAATAAACTTACAACACAAGAGGTTAAAGGGGGTAATTCAGATTCTAAAGAAACTGTCAGTGGTGCTTCGTCGGTGAGAGAGTATAACAGGGTAATTTGGTATTACTAACTGAGTTAATGACGTAAATTGGCCACCATAAAGTGTTTCAAACCTGACGCTTAGAACGTTAACCCTTCGTCAGAGCAAATGACGACGCAATCTGAATGCAATCTGATTGGCTCTTATTGGTGCGATCTATTCACGAACGTCACAACACAAAAATTGTGTACCTACATCGAATATCGTTTTGATAACTTGAATTCTGGAATTGACATGATTAATTGGTAAATGAACGAAACGTAATCAACCTCATTCCGTTAATTACGTGCAATTTAAGTTAGGTTGTCTTCGTAATTTCAATTTATTCGCCAAATTACTCTTTGATCTTATTCTTGATTCAGTCCTAATAACATAATTTTTCAGTGAAATTTTAACTTTATCATTATTAATGTTTTCATTATAATGATTTGTTATTGTAAATAATGTTATTTTTATTGTAAGGATGAATACTTTTCTCCCAATCACGGTGCAGTCCAAACGGAATCATTCTTAAAACAAAACCGCCGCTCAATTGGGCAACAAGTTGTATAGGGAGCGTAATAGCTAGGTGTTAAACTTTCTGTACTTTGTACAGTCGAACCAATATTCACTTAATGTATGGTCCCTAAATATATAACAAAGTACTTAAGGGATGGCCCACTTGTTTTCCCTCAAGTCCTGATATTTCCCGAGACGAATCGACCAATCACAGTGCTCGTTTTGTTGAGTGAGAGTCTAGTCGTATAACAAAATCACCCTGTTGAGTTAAGCTCTAACTGTGTCTATTAAAGAGTATTTTTTTTAACATGACCTTTAATATTTGAGAAAGTCATTTTTCAGAATTACAATAATCATACTTTTAGTTTACGGAGGTAACATTCCGTTAAGTTCTTGCTTCTTTTACATCAAAGCTAACTAAATCTAATGACGATGTCACTTGAAATAGAGATATGAGTGAATGATGATGTCATCAGATCCATGTCAGCCTTACAGGGTTTACCTTTTAATTAGAACTGTTTGATTACAAAAATAATTCATACCTTACGCAATAAATTCGTTAAAATAACTCTAAAAGAAATATGTTAGACCTAAATCGTTCACTTAATTTTTTAAACTCGATAACTGATTGCTGAACTCCGCCCGATGACGTGCCTCATTCAAGCCGTGCCTTGAACTGCTTTTTTGCAGTATCTTCAACGGATTTTTTCAGCCATGCTCGAGGGAGGTATTCCTGTAATGCAAACAAATATGGAAACTGAAAACAAGCAAGGAAAAAAAAAAAGCTAAAGAGAGCGGACCTTTCCATGTAAATCAGAGGGAAAAAAATTATTTTGAAAGTGAAAAACAGTCCTTGAAGAAATGATTCGACATGCATTGCTATTAATCAACTTACATTTGCACGGTTGGATTGTGGGACAAAATGTCGTTTTCCATAACGCATCTTTGGGTTATGCTGGCCCGGCGCAAATGTGCTACTCCAACATACAAACGAACTTACAAGAAGAGCCACAAAAATCCACGAAAATTTGGTGTTCATTCTGCTTTAGCCAACCGATCGTACCGAGAAGTCTGATCAGAGGTTCTTTTATGGTCTTTGATGTTTTCATTGCACTGAATGACTGCCTTTTATTCACTTGATTCCAAAATTTAAATCATAAATGAACAGGTGATTACAGCTCAACTTAATTCTTGTTAAGGAAGCGTTTTATCTCGCTAAGAGTCTCCGCGCTCTGTTCAAGGTTCATCATGGCCGGTTCTTCCTGTTGTTTTCTTCCTGCTGTTAATATTGCAACGCTTCCTTTAAGAAGGAAAGGAACTTAGGCGATGAAAACATTAATTAGAAAACGAATCAGCCAAATTAAGGCTTTTATCTTGTTGTGTTTCACGAAACGTAGCAATGCCTGGTAAAACAAGTCCTGTGCAGCCGATAGACTCTATAAGGCACTGAATGGCCAACAGAACGATATCAAGAAAATCGGCAAATTTGCAAGACAGGTTTTTTTTTTTCTTCTGTTAATCAGTTATCCTGTGTTGTTTTTTGTGATGTGCGTTTCGAAGTATTAATTTTGTTTATCTTCTGATTCACCGGCTTATTCATTCGACCCAAACAAGAAATAAAGCTTTCCCCAACGACGATTATTTATAACCTCACTTCAAGGAGAAAGTTACGGTGCAAAGCTATCAACTGAACACCAATTATAAATCATTTCATTTTTAAGATGCCTTGCACCGTTTGAGAGCAATAGAAGAAAACGTTCACCGAAAATTTAACACGAAATAAGTTCAATGTAAGACAAATTTACAATTACTGGCGATATTTCTAGTTAGTTCAGTCCTCAGTTGTAAAAATAAAGATTCTTCGGCGAAAAAATCACTGGTACGGAAAGAGGCTTTCGTGGTAAAAGAAAAAAAGGATGTTGGAGCCAGTGTAAGGAAGGCTTTAATTCAATGATTATTTCACATCCCGAGCGCTCAAGCGAAAAACCCATGTTCTTCTTTGTTATAGTCTCATATTGGTTTACCGCACATTAAATATGTTTTTCAAATTTTGAAAAACAACACCAACCGTTGTATTTAAGCACACAAGTATCTCCGGTCGCTGAATTTTCTAATTTCATTCAGATCCGGCAAAAGTAAAGCTAAAAAAAGCGCCCTTATCTCTTAATGAAAGCTTTGTGCTGTGTATTTTAAGTCTATGTATTTTGAAAGGCTAGCGTTATCGAGTTTCCATACTTAGCGTAAAATTGTGAAATATGACACGTTTCAGCGAAATTATTTGTGGGTTCAGCAGGAGGGTTTCTTTTTTGAAAGAAAAAGATGAACAATCGCATGTGCTTAATTTTTTTGGAGACTCCAAGGGGATAAGAGAGCTTATTACGCAATTGTACCTTAAATGCAAAGGATATTTATAATGTTTTTATCATCTAATTGAACAAAGAGGGAATATGCTGCAGGAAATAGAACCTTTTACTGAGGCCACTAGGGATTTGCGAAAACTACGCGATCATTTATCTCCTGCACTTCCTTAAACTTTGGAAATATGAAGGAAATCTTTCTGCTTAGCTTTGCGGAAATAGATATGTAAATCGGTAAGACCATTTGTCTGAGGCAGTATTTTCCAGAAAATAACGCACTAGTTACACCTAATGGAAACTAGCCTTGAGGTATATACGCGACTTGTCGCATGTTCCACCGTTAATATATGATCACAGTCTAGTTATATTGTACTTGCCGAGATTATGATTAAACGGTGTTATACTAGTCACAAAGCTTTTCCCGGCTATTTCTCGAAAAACCGTCGTCTAGATTCTCATAAAGATAAACACAGAGTCGCTTTTCACTAGTTTAAAGAAAAAAAAACCACAAGAAAACTAGAACATTGTAAACTTTTTAAAAATTTTGTTTAATCTCTTGATTTTACCTATGGTAAGGTCTTAGCTTACTGTAAAAAAGCAACTTTTAGAAAATACGATAATAAGGAGAAAGAGAAGATCTCAAGGAAGACGACTGCGGTTCATGTGACAGAATTTTATTCTTTTCTCCCCTGCAAAAATTGACATGTTAAGTCCTTAAGTCATGGTTGCAGCCATAACGGAAACTTCCCGAAGTGTCTTCGTTCATTTCAAATTGTTCTTTGCTTGAGATATTTGCTTGAAGCCACAACTTTTAGTTAAGCTGTTGCTTGCAGATCGATAACGATCAAAATTGAATATAAAACCGTAAACGAGAGAATTAACCCGGATGGAGAGTTCCAAACTTGAACAGCTTATGAAAATTTTTTTCAATTTGAAAAAACGGTGACAACCTGTTAAAGATCCAAACATTGTCGTTAGAAGAAATTCCTGTGGTAGGCGTTGAATCCTTTAACTCCTTGCATTGAAATATATCGTGCCTACATATTCCATCGACAGGTAGCTGGGTAAAATGCAATGTTTTTCTTGTAACCTGAGCTTAGTTGCCAGTCCTCAAACAGTGGCCAGTATTCCTCTTTCAATTAAAATCAGCTGAATCAGATAAATTTGCCCCCAACCCTATTCCCTTGTCGTTTCCCCGAGCTCATAAATCGTAGTATCCAATCGCATTATGAGTTGAAATTAAAATTGATCAGAGCATCACCTGTTGTGTCTTGGCTGTCTGAATGTTTGACAAAAACCGAAAAAAAAACTGATTCCCTTTATTTTCAAAGGTTATTTGTATAGCACCGATGCAACCACGGATCGTGTTCAATTCAAATTTCCTACCTCAGGAGGCATATTTTTCTGTCAGGCTCTAAGGTGATAACGAGAATGGAAGTTTTTTCAAATGTGGGCATCAATATAACAATTTCAACGTGCTTTTCAAATTCCTTTGACATGAAAAAATTTACAAACAAATGAAATTTTCTCTTAACATGTGTATGAAAACTGTCCAAAACACTTCAAGGTTTGCGTCTAGATTACACAAATTCCTAACTAATTTACTACCCGACATGATCATTACCAAGGTCGCGACGAAATTTATTTCATTCAACTTCATGTCTACACTTAATCATAATTTTCAATTGAATTTAAATTATTAAGTTTTGTCCTATGAATTTTCATAGACCTAACTGAGCTTGGTGTTTCTTAAACCGAACTGAAATATACCCACTTTAGAACAACGTCTATTTAGCAGAGTGCGGTCTTGTAGCCATACACTTACCCTGTTTGAGATAAAAAATTCCCACATGCCAAAATAAGTAATTACAGAAATATATATTCCTATAAAGAGGTATAAATGAGTAAACCTTGGCTGCGAAGAACAAAGAAGTTACCCGCTTGAGTGGGACAGATATGGTTTGAGCTGCTCGACAGGCGGATAATCTCACGCATGACGTGCCTGACATGGAATGAATAAACTATGAACGAGACAGATAATTTTGCGTTTTGTCACAGCTTTCATGCGAGCTCATTACAGTTTCCTTTTGAAGGAAAATTTACTAGAATAAGGTCAAGGGTGAATGTATACTTTTACTAAAGGCAAATATACCAGCATCAACACAAATGTCACCTAGTGCCCGCTCACTTAATAACTAAATTGAATTGTCATCGCTTTGTATCAACAAGACAACAACTTTTACAAAAATTCCTTCGTTTGTGTTTCTGATTGTTCAGTCTCATTAACAGGTTGGCCGTATCACCAAATTTAAAAGAAAAAGGAAGGAATTGTTGACTCCTGTGTTACGCAACATAACCAAAAGCTTCCCAACACGTGAATGTACACTAGAACCCTAATTTCATAGTGTATTAAAGATACGTTTTTCCAGGTGTTTTTTTTTTTCAGCCAAGAAAAATTAACTTCAAATTTGATGAAATTCCAGGGGGTATATTCCATAGGAATTAGATGTAACCTCGGACATGTGCTTTTTCTATCTGTGCGGTTAAATTTTTTCTTTTAATGAACTCTAACCTCGTGGGATAAAAAAGAAGGATGCAACCAAAGATGAAATACACCTTAGAAGCGATAATAAATGAAGTATGACAAGACGCAAAATAACGTGAGGCACTCATGATATGCTAAATTAAACATGACAAAGAATTAGGGTTAAGAGTGATTATTGTAAACACATGATGTGTGAGTGGATGTCACTCTGAAATATCAAATGTAGGCATCGAGAGTGACAAAAAGCACGTGGAAGCGAAGTTGTATACGTTCATTGTGCTTTCATTAGGATGACTTTATCGACAGAAGGAATAGCCGGGTCATTCTGTTTCGCTTTGAAGGTAAAAAGCGGCTTAAAGAATATATGGTTTATAGGGAGCACGCTGATTCAAACGGTACTGCGTGTGACCAAGTTTTGTTCAAGAGCTCACAGTTCCCAGACTGTTGTTCAATTTACAGCGATTAAAAAGGCCGATAGTTATTTTGGCTGTTGCTGTTGGATATGGAGCATATTGCACTGGAAAAGAAGGAAATGATGTCTATCTTCATGTTCAAAATAAGAAGGAAAAAGAAATCAATATTACGAATCAATATCCATCATCTGAAGGTCAATCCCACGTCCTTTGACAAAGTGTCGCGCTCAGTTTTCAAGTATTTATCTTGATCAAACAAGTACTAACGCGAATTAAAATCCTTAGTTCCTGTCGCTTCCCTTCGGCTTGTGCGATAAATTAATGTCTTCCTGAATTTATTTCCTCTCGAATTAAGGAAAGGGAAAGCATTTTTCAAGAGATTTAAAGAGTGACCTCGGTTATTTTAAGCACCTGAACTTTGTCCCTGTGTTCTCTGCAGTACGTTTTCAACTATTCTCAGTATCAATAACTTTTCGGTCAGACCTGCAAAAAATATATTTTCAAAGTTATTGAGGTCTTGAAAATTGTTTTGATGTTTTGGCTTTCCCTTTTAAGTCAACTAATTCTCCAGTTGACAAACACTGAACTTTTAGCTGGTTCGATGTGATTCTACATTTTTTTCTCAGCGAACAACGAACAAACCAAATTTTCTCAGACGTTTTCATGATTAAATATCAAGGTACAAGTTTGCACTAACTAAATGGAAAATAAATGAAAATGGTGTTTTAGAGCTTTTGGAGATTAGTACTGTTTTTTTCATGCGTTTAGGTAAATTTGTGTTCATCTTAAAATTTCATTTGTTCACTGTTACTTTCCATTTCGCTAATTTAGTCTCACTCTTGATAACTTCGGCCAACTTTCTTTAATTCACAGTCCTTAACGCGGTTCGTGTGCGATAAAATTCCGTTTGTATGAATTCTCGGTTTTCTTTCTTCATTGCGATTAAGAACTTACGCTATCAAGAATTCATGAAGAGTTTGTTGAGTTTTTTACGGCAGAAACGTGTTGATATTAAATAAAGTTGTAAAATCCTGAGGGAAACTTTTAAAAGAGAACGCCAGTGAAATACGTCTCTCAACCCCAGGGTGCTAGAAAAAAATTGCATCTTAGCCTTGATAGCAAAAGAGTTTTTCAGTTATGATAAAAATAAAACACTGCACAGTCAGTAAATTATTCTGCGAAGACTGCTAGTTTTTATGATTTTTTTCTCTTTGAAACTAACTTATCTGAAGCATTTATCTGAACGAAATTATCGTCATGTTAATATTTTTGGGGGGATGCACGTACCGACGTAAAGGAAGTGATATTATTATTCTGTTAAGCAATATTCAGGAGTGGGCATAAAACAACTACAGGAAGTCTGCAATACTAAAAATTTTCATTTGCCTTTTGTTCTCTAATTGATCCTATCGCCATTCACCATTAGTGCAGAATTTTATCTCAACGTCCGACGCCAGGCATTTGTACAGAGACGCTCATCCTGACAATCGCAGGTATAAAGGACCGTGTTCTTTTACAAGTAAACACAACTCACTCCAGCAAACCGATTGTTCTCAGTTAGGGCTCGATTTAAATCTCTTTTTGATTTGGAAATATGAATAGCACATTTCTTTGGATGCTTTTAGCTCTAGTTTTATTATCTTTTGTATGCCTGGGAAGCACATTCACACCCGGTGCGGGATGTCATATAGCTAAGTGCAAGAAACGTCAGGTGGTGCGAAAATACAGCGATCAACAGGTAATTCATCAGTAATGCATCCTCAGCAGTCCAAAAATATGTTTTTATGTAACCTAAGAGGATGTGCTTAAGTTCATTGTTTTCTGTTTTGATCAATGGAAATTTTTTTTATCCAATTTAGAAACAGTCGGTTTCAATTTGGCTAAATGAAGATCATGAACTCAATTTTATCATTCCTTCATCACTCATAAGCGGTGGAAAATACCCGTCCATGCTGACAGAGAGTACATTAATTTTTTTTACAGAGTGAAATGTGTAGTTCTTGTCCATTTGATAAGTATTTATGCCAACTAGAACCCAGTACACATAGCTTGTCAAACAGCTCTCTAAAATCTTTTTCACGGCTGATAACAGTGTATCGATCAAGATCTTTACCGAACCCGTGGTTTATCGAACTTTTTTTTCTTTGCTGAGTTGAGAAATTATTCACCGAAGGGGAGGTAAATGACTGTTGTGTCAAAAATCCGGCACGCTGAATAACGAGTATACCTAAATAAGTAGTAAGTAATTCATCAGCCGCTTGGAGCCTCCGAACTGGCTGACCAATCAGCACGCTCTAAAAGTACTATTCTCCATATGGTTTAGACTCATTTCGATAATGTTTTAACCAGCAGGATTTTATAAAGGCATATTGTGACAAAGTTCGTCCATGTCCTGGGGCAAACGGAAAACGAACTCTTCCACGGCAGGAAGCTGTACTGGAGAGGGACCAGGAACGTTTCTGACTTGGAAGCCAATATGACATAGCCAGAGTAATTTAAAAAAATTGTTTAGACGACCGCATATTTTCCGTAACCCATGAAAAGATTATATGAATATATATTTCTGTAATTATAAACCTTAGATAATAAATTGTGAAGACTTGGAATTATTTTTAGGACTTCATCAACATAGTATCGCGTAAAATATCAATTCCATTCACGAAAATAAGTTTATCAAAGCCTTATGTGGATTAAACATTTTTAAATATTTTACCTCTTTTTATCAGAGCTCGCTCGCCATCTTAGCCACTTGCAAAGATTATTATGATATTAGCTAAAGGAACATAAATATGTATTCCAACTAAATTTAGATATAAGATTAAATTAAAATATTACGTGTATATTTGGGTCTTCAATCTTAAATCCGAGATACTGAATTGTGTAGACTTCATTAACATAGTATCGAATAAAAATGCAGTTCTATTTCTCAAAATGGTTTTCATATCTATTGTTTAAGAGCCTTTTTATGGATCATACATTTTTCAAATATTTTATTTTGTTTTTTTCCAGTGCTTGCGTTCCACCCTAACTGCTTATTCAGTTTTTCCTCCTCCCGACCGGTTTAACCTTTTAATCCTGTTACGTGCAGTCCATTTGAGTGGAATGTTTATAAACTTACTGGAGTACCAAAGTGCTCTTTCACAGTAATCATAAAATTTTTCTTCGATGAGGTGGCTGAAAACCAAGAGAGGATTAAGTTACCACGCGATCTAATGAGGATTACCTTGCAAATAATCTTTACACAAGCAGCCAAACAGTTGTCCTTTATTCAGAGCTCCTATTTAGTTTCACTATAGTCAGCGCAGTTTCATCTGATCAAATAAAATTTTATAGTGGCCTTATCTCGATCGCCAGTAATACAGATATACCTATAGCTGTAGACATTGTGATTAAAATTGAGTGCTGTTGCAATCAGTGATAAGCGTTTTCATACTAAGGTGTTATTTGATAGCTTAATGACTAAAAAGGTCATTATTTGATGAAGAAATCTGCGCAACGCCGGAAGTCAGGGGAATGTGTCCACTCACTACACCTACGAGTAAATCTGAATTCTTAAATCACTGCTGAGTCTCTGATCTGACAAGCCATCTGTTCTATTGCATAATTTAGATAAAGAACAATTTTCCTCTTGACTGTCATAATTACACTCATAATGGACAAAAATCGTAAAGAAACCTCGAGGACACTTCCCTGATCGATGCACGTGCCAGTGTAAAGGAAGTGATATTATTTTTCTGCTGAGTAATGCTAGGAGTGGGAAAAAACTACAGGATGATTACAGTACTAAGGAACTTTTCATTTGTCTTTTGTTCACTAATTGATCCTATCGCAATTCATCCATTAGAGCAGCATTTTATCTCACTGCCCGACGCCACGCACTTATACAAGGACGCTCATTAAGTCATGATTCTCCTGAAAATCGCAGATATAAATGATCGTGTTCTCGTCAAAGAGAATGCAACACAAACCAACTGTTCTCAGTTACTGCTCGATTGGAATCTCCTTTTGATTTGGAAATATGAATAGCCCATTTTCCTTGATGTTTCTAGCGCTAGTTTTATTGTCTTTTGTAAGCTGGGGAAGAACATTCACACCCAACATGAATTGTCCTGCACACGTGTGCCCAAGACGAAAAGTGGCGCGAAAATTCAGTGATCAACAGGTAAGACGTTAAACGTTTATCTTCAACAGCGCAGTACTCATTCTATTTCGTTTGTTTCGTCTTTGCGAGCAAACATATGAAGCATTTATTGCATTTTATGCAAGCAAAGAGGAATTGCTAAGTTGAACTCGCACCATTTTTATCCTTTTGGGTAACTTGGGAGACATTTGGAAGCCGCGAGTTTCAATTTAGCTGGATGTATATTTTTATTGAAAATTATCATTTTATCATGGCTCATGGGTCGTAGAAAACGCTTGTGAACAAAGAATTCATTCAGGTTTTTTACAGAATGAAATAGTTCTTGCCCATTCGATAAAAAAGAATATAAGCATGCCATAAATAAGCAGTACCCATGGCTTGGAAAATTATAAGCACTTTAAAATCTCTGATTAAATAATGTCGATCAACATCCTGACCGTTGTCGAGATTCATCGAATTTTTTCTTCTCATATTTTTTAGTTAGGAAATTGTTCGCCAAAGTGAAGAGGTATAGTTTTCTGTCAGATTCCCCTGAATAAACAATGGACTAAAAATTACTTTATTTCTGGCAAAATTCACACATATGGACAAAAACGAAACTGACGAATATCTCGCCGGCTTGGATCCGAACCTCCGAGCTAGCTAGCCAATCAGTGCCCTCTAAAAGCATTAAATATCTATGTGGTATATAGACTTACATCAATTATTGTTTTAACCAGGAGGATTTTATAAAGGCATACTGTGACAAAGTCCGTCCGTGTAACATGGCAAACGGAAAACGAAGTCTTCTTCGCGAAGAAGCTCCACTTGAGAGGGACCGGGAACAACTTTGACATGAAGGCTAAGATGACCATCAGTATAGCTGGAGGAAGGTCAAAATTTCTTTAGACGACTGGATATTTTCTTTAACTTATGTATATGATAAAAAAAGATGATGTGAATATTTATGTCTGTAATTATAAACGTGAGGTAGTAAATTGTGAGGACCAAGCATCCTTTTTAAAACTTCAGTCACGAGTATCTAATAAGGGACCGATTCTATTTCTTGAATAAATTTATCAAATCAATTGTCGAAAGCTTATGTATGGATAACGCATTTTTAACTATTATTTTGTTGACCAGATTTTGCGTTCCACCATCGACTTTACTTTTAAATAGCCAACTGTTTTGCCTTCTCTAAGTTAAGTTACGTTAGTTGTTGGATTGTTTGAGTGGATTGCGTACGCTTACAAGCCAAAGAGCTCTTTCACAAGAGTCAAAAACATATTTTATCGAAATGACGGATGAAACTTACAAACAGCTGAATATAACATTGCACAGAATATTTATACTAGCAATCAAGTTGCGTTCCTTTATTCATATATACATCCTATTAAGTTTCATTTTGGCCAGCGCTGTCTCATCTGGAAAAAAGAAAAGAATTGAAATTTGTGTCTATGCTCTATGGTCAGTCACACATACAAACATATACCCACGCTCCCACACTTCTGAGGGTCCCCAATAGGGTTCTTCAATCCCGCGATCCCGACGAAAATTTTTTTATCAAAACCGTAATCCGGACGGTCTATACCGGCCAATCCCCATCCCGATCGTACAATTTTGTCTAAGCCCATTTCCTTAGGAGAGCCTTTCCGGTGGGTGATGGTTTTCTTAACCAGCATTTATCCGTTGAAGTCTATGGTCACCGTAAGGCGGCAGGTTACCAAAATGACGATATCGTTAACGTTCATTTTAGAAGTTTTCAAAGTCTTGCACGAATAACGTACGCTAGTCACGATAACGACCTCCCTTCATTAACCTTTGATCACGGAGAAACGTATAGGTACAGGCAGGTCCGTATCAAAGAAACGAATAACAACTTTTAACAAGTACATAAAACACAAAAGGTCACGGCAATCCCATAATTCCATTACAACGGAGATAAATCAGCCTCTTGTTCCAAAGATGGAATGTCATCATCATCACTCGGGGAATCGTATTCCAATATTCCATCTCCCTCTTCGTCTTGTTTTACGCCGTTTTCTTGCTGCTCCTCGAGCCCGAGCATTCGAGGCTGACCGGTTCGACCGGCTGAATTTCTCTCTGATAGAGGTAAGACGGGAAGTTCCAGCTCTTGCCATCGTTGTTTCCTGTCTGACAGAGAGCTGACGCACTGCTGCAACAAATGTTTACGCCCAGTCCCTCATCGTATGCTCTGTGGTGCCATCGGCACAGGTGGTAACGGTTGAATTACCGGTATGGTCGACAGGATCCTGGCACGTTCGGTTTCAAGATACCAAGAATTTGGATTTGTAAAATATTACGCCGCCCAATGGGTTGTCCTCATTAAGCCTCTTTTAGCTACATTTCCAAAGTTACTTGGGTAGTCTAACACCATGAAAAGTTTATCTTTGTGATGCACAACAGAGAGAATATTCTTCGCATCTTGTGTCATGTAACTCAACAGGTTAAGAGCATCATATCGGTATAATTCTGAGACTTTTATAATTCTGAGGTTTTTCAAAGCCGTTAAGCATATCAATTGACGCAGCAGTCTTAGATGCCACGTTACCCTGTGGGCCATTGAGGATTTTTGATAAATTGGCAACTTCGCCTATGACATATTTTCATTCCCACGCAATAACTGAAGAGTGTCGCTGAGCAGCCCGACTGCCTCTTGAATGAAAGAACCTGTACGCCTGGTGCTTTTCATGACTGAGACATCCCGGTTCTCGGTTCGTTTAAGTGATTATTTCTCGAGTCCCGCTCCTCAAAATTGCTGATTCCCGCGTCCCGTTCATAATAGCAATCACGCATCCCGCTCCCTTCTTGCCATAAATTCCCGGATCCCGGCCTTCAAATGAGCCTAATCCAGCATCCTGAAAAACCTACTGAAGACCCTCACTTCCGTTACATTGTGATCAATAGTCATTGCTTTAGCAACCAGTGGTAAGCACACGTCTTCGGTTGTATTTCAACAAAAATCTAATTCGATGATACATATTTATTATAGTCTTGCAAAGCTTTTGAGTAGTATACCATAGAATCCCTCAAGTCACTTGTCTTTTCTAGGTTGTGGACACGAGCCGTAAAGAGCATACCAGTGGAATATAGGAGACGACGGGAACATTTCGTGACACACCAAGAGTGTTATAAACTAGCATCCCCTCAAGGGAAAGTGGTAATATTCCTAGCCGCCCCATGCTACAGAAATCCGGATGAGGTCATACAGTAAAGGTACACCTGGCTTGTAAAACATAAGCCATTCACTCAGGCTGCTATCTAGCTCAATTGCAATTCTCCTTACTGCCCGACGCGCAAATTTCCTGTAAAAATTTGAGTCATTTCACACATTTTGGCCGCGATTGCGCGTTGAAATTTATCACTCACAATGCCAAGCTACTCAGAATATAGCGAGTAACTTGAATTAGGTTTCCATTTCGAACCACGCAGTCATTTTACAAGTGGCGCCTTTGCTGATCGTGAATGAAATAAAAATAATTGCTTTTTTACTATCTAAACGTAATCTGCAGAAATTTGTTGTAACCTCAGAATAGTTTTTTTTTACACATATCAAAGAAACGAAAACCAGGAAGAAACATTTGGTGTCATATGCAATTTAATTGACTTCTAATCCCTCTCAATTACAGTTCCCTCTTAGTGATCCCTCTTATTGCACCCTCCAATTACATCTTATAACAAACAAAGTCAGAGGTAATTCACCTTTGGCTTTTGATGGCGTTCAGGGTCTGATTGCAACCGAGATCGTGCGCGTAAGAGGGAAATCAGTTAACGATAGGGCATTTTTTGCCATGTAAAATATCGCTATCGCCCTTTTCTCTCTTCGCCTCTTTCCCCCCTCCTTAAACCCAACGACATAACTTAAGTTTGTGAGTATGAGCCACCTCTCCTCCCTTGGTGGGTAAGGCCAACTCTATGGCCATAATTATAAAAACTCTGAACATAACTTAATTTAGAGTCTTTTTAATTCTATCTGAAGCTAACATCGACTACAAGTTTATTTTTTTCTTACTACAACTATTTTGATATTATTACGCAGTATTTTAAAGACGATTCCTTGATTCTCAATCTGGCATCGGTGTCAGCAGTTACTGATGATAGTCCGCAATCTTCTTGAAGTCGAGTTCTTCCTTGAGTTTACGTTCACCTGGGCAGGGAAGCACTTGCTCACAGAAAGATTTGATGACAGCTTGTTGCTTTTTAACAAATTTCACAAATAAATGAACAAATTGATTAGTCAATGGTCAACTAATTGAGCCTTTAAGCAAATTGTTGGCTAGAAAATCTTGAAAATCTTTTTGAACAATTTATACATCCTAAATGTAAATTAAATATCTTGAAATAAGGCCAATTTTTCCAGATAATGACTGAAAGAGAATATTTATAGGGAAAATTAAAATCCATGTACAATTGAGGATTCCCTTCATTTAAGTTTTAGTCAAATGTTAATGCTGGAACATTTTATAGCGGAGATGATGGCTTGGCTTTGGCTTTGTAGATGTCTTCACGGAAGAGGCTGTGAGCACTTTAGTATATCTGGAAGCCTTAAGTTAATCAGAACTGTTCTAAAAGTCTAAAAAGTTTGTACCAATTACGATCTGTTAGTTGGAACTTTCAATTTTCTGTGTACTTGTTTTGTCAAATGAATTGCATTTAACCTTAAAAAACTAGCAAACGAACCATTAGAGATTCGGCCGTGTTTGGCAATTACAAGTATACTTGAAAAATAACAAAAAGTATATGCAATAAAAAAATATTCTCACCTTTTTGCAGCCAGAAATATTAGCAGCCAGTCTTCGGAAACCAGTGTCGTCCTGGGGAACAAACGCATTATTTTGCACCACTATGCTCAGAACCACCGATAGATAAAGAAATACCGAAATAATTTTAAGGTTCATTTTTTTGAACTTCTACCGAGCACGCTGCTAAGGAGATTAAGGGCAGTGAAACTACGGACTAAATGGTAGTATTTATATTGGTGACAGAATATAATATTTTTTCACCTTTAATGTTCATACGGGTACTTAATGGACGAAACAATAACCAAGTCATTACTGAGGTCTTTGAGAACAACCCTACTCGAAAATTAGCGATTAATGTTCGCCATTGTAGAGCAATATTTCATGGGCGTCTTTCAAACTCTGATTTGTGTTGGCTTGTTATCGTTTTGGACCATTAACCTCATTTAATGACAGGAACAACAATACTTACGGGTGATAATTACACTGAGTCAAACCTGTGATTGGACTGTTGTTGAGTGTCAGTTGTGATCGTGTTCCATGTTTTAAATAATTACCATGCAAGACCACCGGGAAAATTATCTCAATTTTATTAATGATAGTAAAAGAAAAGAGTTTGGAAAAAAAAATCTTCTTGCATTTGTGGGGAAAATTCGGTTGAAGAGGTGAAAACTAGTCAACTTTTCTTTCTACGGTTTTGACAAACAGTCTTATCGGGAGTATTCTGGCGCCAAACTTTAACTGAATGGGTGCATCTTTAAGTAATTCAAGGCCTTGTGCCCCATTTGGAAGCCATTGGTAGTAAAACAGATTTATTTCGTCACTACGAAGCGTTTTTGACGAACAGACTTATTGGGAGTGCACTGGCGCCAAACTTTAACTAAATGGCTTCATTATTGAGTAATTCAAAGCTTTGCGCCCCATTTAAGCCATTGGTGGTAAAACAGATTCCTTTTTTTACTGCGCAGCGGAAATGTTGAATTTGGACACAAATTACCCTTAAAGATATTCAGGTGAAAGAGTGTAGGATTTCCCACCACCCATTAGTTTTAAAACAAGATACACTTTGGGATTAAATTAATGGAAAAGGTGGTAAAAAAAGAGCTGTTTCCTCATTAAACACTATTTTCTAATATAGTGCGTGGTTAACCTTGTGAATGAATAGGAAAAGGCGGAAGGTGACCATTATTTTGACTTTTGTGTAGGTTTAATGCCATCTTAATGGAAAAAAAAATCAAGCCTACGAAAATCATCAGTAAAATTCAAATTACCTTAATATGATCAGCTTTTTGTTCA